GCATCAACTAATGCGTCAGAAAAAAATGAAATTACTTTCCGAACAACTCAATAGTTAAAAAAAAAAGAACCAAAAAATAGAAAGAGAATATAAAATTCGTTATACAAAACTAAATCAACGGATCTAAAGTCAGCGTTATGAAGTGAAGCAGGCAAGCCAAGACTTTGGAGAACCTAGGCATCAGCATATCACGGCTGGCGAGAGTCGAGTGCCACTCGAGACGGGATGCTCGAAAGCAAATTAGCGTTTGGCGGGATTCCTTTGTTGATGTCTGTGTATATGTATATGTATGAGAGAGAGAGAGAGAGAGAGAGAGAGAGAGAGAGAGAGAGAGAGAGAGCGAGAGAGAGAGAGCGAGAGAGAGAGAGAGAGAGAGCAAGAGAAACTGGGCTTTATCATTTATGTTAGTTGTGTGTTGTATGGGCGTGAATGGAGCGTCATTACACGAGGAGTACAGTGTACCCGGTCGTACCATTCGCCACCTTCCAGCGTACGATCTCGATGTGAACCGTGACGCAATGTTCGCATGAATGTCCCATTTGACGAACCCAAGGATATATATATCCTTATATATATGTATATGTATATGCATGTGTGTGTGTGTGTTTGTATGAATGTATGTATTTTGAAGAGACTCGTGCGATTTGAAACACCTTCGCACTTTTTCCACGCTTCTTCTTCCCTCGTGTATTTCTTTTCCGTTCTTCTTCCTGCGAGGCAATTTTCACATAACATTTACATTTAGAAATTATATTTTCATGTTTCTTTTATGTTATATTAAAACTATGACGTCTGGTGGCACCACGCTGGTACGATACAAAAACTATCTGTTGTATGTCAGTGGTACCACTTTGGTTCCATTTAAAAAAACCAAAAAGTAACATTTGAATTATATTTCGTGGGTGTTTAGGGAACCATAATAATTATAAAGTTGTGATTATTTAACCAAGAATTAGGTAAGAACAATTTTTGGATAACATATTTTAATTAAAGCAATAAATATTGCCGCCACTTTCGAAATTTTTGAAAAATCCAAAATTTCCAAACTACTATTATTTGTGGATGGCATAGTGTTAATCGAAGAAAAATTTTGTTTAAAGTGGAAATATTATTTTTATATTATACTATATTTATTAAATTAATAAAATAATCCCTAGTAGCACAAAATATTGAAAAGTATTGAATATATGTGTATTTAATATTAAAAAGAGATTTAATGTCTTTTTAATATTAAAAATTTAATATTAAAAATATGTATTCAATATTTTTCAATATTTTGTGCTACTAGAGATGAAACTAAATTTGTCTAATAAGTATAATATAATACGATAAGTGCTTTTCAATGAAATTTGATATCAGCTTAATTATTATCAATAGAAGATCGAGTTACATCTGTTTTTTGTTGTTGTTATAAAGTAAAAGAGATAAAATTATTAACTTCACAAAGAATCCACACTGTTATTTTCAACGAAAGTAATATCGTAAATTGATCCTTGTGTGTATCTCTGTGTGTATGTGTGTGTGTTTTTTTTTGTTTGGTTTATTTTAAAACAGACGATGACGTTTATACGTAAAAGAAATAATTTGTCATTCGTGACAGGACGTTGAGAGGGAGTAGTATCGTAGTCTACTCGCGTGACACGGATCCACGAAATCATCATCAACAGAGAGACTGGACGTATCCGGTCCGACTATTGCATACAAGTGTGTGCTATGCACAATGATACCCACTGTACACTATCATCGACCTAAATATTTCGAAACTTTCACGAACCATCTCTGTTGAGACGTACCACAAATTCCTTTTTCTTTAAATTCCTCGATAAAAAAATAAACTAAAAATCGTGATTACGTATACATTTCGTTATTCCTCTTTTTTCTATAAATAAATATTCAAAAAAATCTCCAGATAAATAAAATCAATAAAATATAAAATATAAAATATTATGTTTCGTGCATATATATTTAAATATATACTAAATTATTCTATTAATTAATTAATTACAAATTTTTCAATAAAATGAAAAACCTTCGTTATTTTATACAAATTGTAATAAAACAAAAATACCATGACCGAGATATTTCTTGATCGTTAAATCGCAAAAACGAGTAATGCCGAGTTGAACCGAGATACTCCAACTTGGAAACCTCGATCTTTCTTTTATTCTCTCCTTGGTTAAACATTTCTCTCTCTGTCTCTTATGCACCTCTTATTCTTTTTCTTCTTCTCTGCGATCTACAACAACAACAACAAGCACAAGTGTGATGTCTCTTGCATCACGTCACTCGTTCTCAGTCAGTCGCATTGCATAAACGGTACTTGGGAATTAACCGGTCATAGCATTCCTTTTCTATCCCCCTTATATCCCCCCTCCCTCCACCCACACTTTACCCTGAATTAAGTCAATTAAGAAACGAGGCGTATAGTTCATTTTCTCTCCCTCTAATTTTTTCTTCATCGTTTTCTTTCTTTCTCATCTTCTAATTGCCACTATACGTTTTTACTTCTAACGAATAGAAAAAAACGAAGAGAAAAAAAAAATTAACTGATTCTTTTTTTTCATTAGCAAAATCAGAACTAATTCCCCTATTTCAATCGAGTGGTGGAGGGGGGCAAGAAGAGTGGGGGGAAAAGAAATGAGGAATAAGAGTGAGGAAGAAGAGTGGGGGAAGAAGAGATGAGAAAGAAGAGTGGGGGAAGAAAAGATTGGGAAGAAGAGTGGGGGAAGAAGAGATGAGAAAGAAGAGTGGGGGAAGAAAAGATTGGGAAGAAGAGTGGGGGAAAAAGAATTCATTTTGATCGAACTACTTGAACAAAATGAACTACTGTACTTTATAAATAAAAAAATAATCTCAAGGAAGATTGAAATAATTAATAAGAACACAATTTCAATAATTATTGTTAATCGAAGTTTTTCTAACGTTGGTACGTTTTTTTTCTATTTTTTCTTTTTTTTTTTGTAATTTGCAACGATGAATGCCAACGTTGTTAGATCGTTACGGTAAGATGGCTCATGGCGGATCTGATAAATTTGTTCTATTTTCTACCATTCCTTTTAGCGTTGATTTAACGACGTTACTAATCGATCTTATGTTAAGTTAGTTGAATTCCTTGGCATTAAACTCACGATGAAAGGTTTATACCGTAACCTTTCTTTTTTCTTTTTCTTTTTTTTTTTTTTTTAAATAAGTAATTTATCGAGTTATGATATCGTTTGAAATTATTTTGTTCATAGTTTGAATATAAACACAATAAATTACATAGGCGTTGTATTATTCGTTGTATCAGTATTTTCAAGACAATCATTATATTATTATTGTTATTGTTATTATTATTATTATTATTATTATTATTATTATTATTATTATTATTATTATTATTGATTATCGTATATCTATAGTTTTCACTTTTCGTGGTTTTAATCGAGTTAATTTGTACGATGGTATCTCGTAACAGGGAAAATAAACAAACCTCGTGTGCTTTTACAAAATGCGAATTTTTTCATATATATATTTATATTTATTTATTTATTTATTTATTTTAAAGATTAAAAATCGCATAGATAGTTATATTGTTGCAAAATTGATATAAATCAATCTCGTGGAATTAATTTGTTATTAATTTTAATCTTTCCGATCTTTCCAATTAAATTCGATACGTTGTTTCATTTAATTTCTTTCTTCTTTTTTTTTTTTAATAATAATAACAAAGAAATAATATTTATGTCTGCATAAATAATAATAATAATAATAATAATAATAATAATATGATAACGCGAATTGTTCTAGGTATTGAATTTTTGTTTCTTGTTTCATTTTTTTGCTGAACTCGTAGAAACAATCAGGTATCAAGGTACGAAGTTTGAGTTAGCAAAAAATGACAAAGAAAATAAAAGAATATTTTTTCGTTTACGTGTCGATTTGAACTGAAAGTATCACGAATCTCCCCACCCAACCCCTTTACCCCAATGTTACAAAGCATATAACAAATCTTTGTCATTTTTATTTGATATCATTGTCTACAAAAAAGAACTTTGTGTTCGATACGTTTGTTTCTACAAAATGTAAGAAATCACGTACGAAAGACGTATATAATAATGTAACGGAGTCATCGTTGAGTGAGCACGAAGATTGAACTAAAACACTTGGAAAATTTCATTTGAAAAAAGAACAAAATCATCAAATTGCTGAGTAATCTTTCACGTTACTAACAAAATCTAAAGATTCATTCATTTGAAATTCCTTTACGCTCGGTAAAACTCTACCGATGGAAAAGATATCTGTGTACTTGAATATTTTCCCATAGAAAATGTTTCATTTTGAGTGAAATATTTAATTAATTTTGAAACAGTTATATTATTAACATTTCATCGAATTCATTTCATGTTTTTGTTAATCATTTTGAAAATAAATACATTTTATGTTTATAAATCATTACTTACTTAGATTAAATGCTTTAAAAATTGTTTTTAACATACGTTTACAATAATTATATATATTATACTATTTTAATCTTTTGAATTAATTTATCTAAAACATATGTTTGTAAAAATAAAATAAAATACAAAAATAAAATAAGATAATTTAGGAAGGACACAATATTTATATTAAACTATAATATAATTAAATTTAATTTAATTAAAGAAAAAATTACAAAATAAAATAAAATACAAAAAAATAAGATAATTTAGGAATGTAACAATATTTATATTAAATTATAATAATTATATGTTAATTATAATATAATTAAATTTAATTTAATTAAATAAATAATAAAAAAATAAAATAAAATAAAAAAATAGTAAATAAAAATATAAATAAAAAATACAATAAAATAATAAATAAAAAATAAAAAAATAAATTTAATTTAATTAACCAAATTTATTTTAATTAAATATCGAAATAAGAAACACCCCTATTCTTTTTTTTCTTCTTAGCTTATCTCAAAGATAAATAATCATTGATATTAATTAATTAATTTTTTGTTCGTTTATTAATAGTTGCCGATAGAAAAGAGACGAAGTAAACAATAAAAAATTAGCGATGAAGGCGGTACAAGAACAACAACAACCAGAATCGATAGAATCCAACGAATCGGTTTCCGCCTCTTCGATTGAGTACGCCTATCGACCATTGACAACGAAACATAGAAGGGCCGGAAGTACCGGTACTACCGGAGATGAGGAATACACCACCGATGAAGATGAGCTTTATCCGGACGAAGCTGATTGTCCGATCGGTTCAACCTTGCATGCACCTCATCCGATTCTTAAATCCGATCTTGCAAGAGCTGCGACTGATTTATTTGGTTATGCGAATAAAAGGGAGGGTGAGGAAGAAGAACCTACGAGTCTCTTTGACGAAGATGACAAATTTCTTAACAACAGGTTAGTTGGCTAATTTTAATCTGATGCCACCCCCAAAATAGAGGCTTTTTTATTTTTGACACCTTGTATTTATTTTTGCTTGATGTTCATGTTTAATTCTTTACGGCACAGAATTGCAGATAATAAAATAAATGGGCGTACGTTATATAGAAATTTTATTACGTTTTATTATTAAAATATTGGTATTTTTTTTTATTAACTTATTTTATTTATTATATTATTTAAATTTATTTTATTGTAACGTAAAATGGTCGTATGTTGCATAGAAATTTGATTACGTTTTATTATAAAAATATTGGTATTTTTTTTTTTTAATAATAAAAGTATCACATAATAAATACAATATATAAAAATAAAATTAATAAAATTTTTATTAATTTTATAATTTTATAATAAATCTTTTTAAATTTATAAAATATTTTAATCCCACCGTGCCCTAAAGAGTTAAATAAAACTATAAATCAAATTACTATAACCTAATTAAAGTAAAAATAACAAGCATATTACCAAAAATATTAATTTGACTAAAGTGTCAAACATTGACAGACAGAAATTTTAAATATTGATCTTCTATTGGCATTAATATGTTTTACAATATCTAAAGTATTGTTGTAATTGCTGTAAACAAAAAATTACTTGTTTCCAAAATTCTATTGCACATTTTCTGAAACAATTGTAGGGTTGTTAGGTTCCAAGTAAAAGGATTAATTTGTGAAGAATTGTGACAAATGCAAATATTTTCTTACAATTGATTTTTATATAACTGAACATGATGTTTTGTTTACATTTAGTTCTAGTTTAGCCAAATCAAATTCACTGTTCGTATACAACGACAAGATTCATAATGTTTTAACGAGGCATCGAAGTCCGACGACAATGAACGAAAAGAAGCCTAGCGAGTCTATCCTAAACACGCATGCGTACAAGTCAGATATTCAGGTACCTGCTACTCAGACTATGACTAATTTGGACGTTAGGTTGGGTGATGAGAAAATAGATGATGTTATGGAAGAAGATACAGGAATTAATAAATGGGAAGAAGATATTTGTTCAGCATCATCATCGTCAGATATAACATCATCTAGAAAAAAATATGAGGTAAATAATAATTCAAATCACATTGTAAACATCGTTAAAATGTTTCAAAACATTTGTTGAACTTTTTAATAGAAAAAGAAAATAATTCCAAGTATTAAATATCATAATATTTGAAAAGATTCGTTATTGTTGTTATTATTCAAATGAATAATGAAAATAAATAAATATCTGATTAAACGTAGGTTGATACGAGAATTAAGGAAGAAATTACTATAACGAAGGATCCAATTGAAAATCCACCCTCACCGACTACCGCACAATGGGGTAGAGCCGTGGCTGAGGTAAAAGAACACGCTGTCGCTAAATTGCAGGAAGAATTGAAGAGAGCTCACGAGGAATTGAAATTGAAGGACGAAGAAGTTGCTAGGCTCTCGAGAATTCGGCAGGATGTCGAAACCGAATTGGAGGAATTAACCGCAAGTTTGTTTCAAGTACGTCGCGTGTCTCGGAGATTCGAAGATCTTAAAAACAAAAAACAAAAAAGAAAGAAAATGATATGAAAAAATATCAGATACTGGAAGATATAAATTGAAATTTTTATAGGAAGCGCACAATATGGTGCGCGAAGCAAACGTGCGTCAAGCAACGGCTGAACGTCTTTTGGAGGAAAGTCGAATGAAAGCTGAAGTTTTAGCTGCCGAAGTGACGGCATTAAAAACTTTGGTTTTAACTTCGACACCGGCAAGACCAAATCCTCATTTGCATCCTCAGATCGATACGAGATCTCGTTTGTGTTCGAATGATGAATCTCAACAAAGTCTTTTTGCTAAAAAACATCGAAGGTAAATTTTTTTTCTTATCTACAAGCGCGAAACAATTTAATAAGAAATTTTATAAATTTAACAAATATATGAATTATAACTCTTTGAGGTACGCCAGTATCTACCATTTTTTATGCATAAATTTGCAATATTAAATTATTATTATTATTTATATATATATATATATTATATTAATTTAATAATTATATAAAATTATATAATAATATTATATAATATTTTATTATATAAATTATAATCAAATTATATAATAAATAAATAAATTAATATATTAATAAATAAATTATTTATTATATAAAGTTATAATAAAATTATATATTATATAATTTTTTATATTAAATAAAAAAAATCAAATTTCTCTAAAACACATAATGGGAGTCTTTTACATATATTGGGGTGCCCTTTTTATTTTCTAAAATTTCGTACCTCAAAGAGTTAACTAATTATTATTAACAAAAAACAAAAATATTGATTAAACTTTTTGATAAAAAAGGTCGCCATCGCATTTCAATCTTAAATATGGTCGAGAAAATTCACCACCAGAATCACCTGTCAAAGAACAAAGGCCGTCATTACCTAGCGATAGAGAAACCTTAACCAGGGATTGGAAGAAGGATCGTGAAAAGGATAGAGACAAGGATTGTAAGGATTTAGGATTAGAAGTTGATCCTAGAGTTCATACGGAATTTCTTAGGTGGAAGGCAAATCCTTGCGTTGATAAAAGCGATCCATTTGTTGCCAGAGTGTTCAAAGAAGACATTGATCTTTGTTTAGATTTTCCTAATAAAGAACTTGGTTCTAGAGTCCGACAAGCTGTTCTCGATGGAATCATTTTCATTGAGGCTGTCAGTGATAAAACCAAACTTGCCTTTCCTAAGTATGTATTAATATTAACATTATATTATTCATAATTTTTGATAAGAATTGTTAACATTGTATTTGTTATTTTATTTGTAGAAAATGTGCACTATTGGAAGCGCCAAGACAATGTCATTATCGTATGAGACTGGGTGATCAGGAGAACCAATGGCATTGTATCTCTCAAATTTGTCGCAATCGAGTTAGTATTCTTTTTTTTTTTTTAAATATATTTTATATACAAAATATGTTTATACATTATACTTTTATATTGGGTTGGGTTTAAAGTCATTGCTGATTTTAAAAAGCCATCTGTTGGCAAAATTTGCAATCACTTAGTTGCTAACCTTATATATATATATATATATATATATATATATATATATATATATATATATATATATATTATATTTTTATTAATATAATTATATATTAAATATCTTTATATCATTGATATAATTTAATAATTCGTCGCAATCGAGTTAGTGTAGTTCTGTTTTTAAATATATTTTAAATACAAAATATTTTTATACATTATATTTTTATATTAGGTTAGCAACTAAGTTATGGTTGATTTTAAAAAGCCATCTATCGACAAAATTTGTAATTATTTAGTTGCTAACTAAATATATTATATTTTTATATATTATATCTTTATTAATATAATTAAAATAATTATAATAATAAATTAATATAATTTATATCTTTATATCATTGATATAATTTAATAATAATTCCTATAACATTAATTTTTTTTTAGATTATAGCGGTCTGTGATTTTCTCAATTATTTACGTTACGTAGAACGAGGTCTTGTTAAAAGTTCAGGTAAATTATATTATCAATGTAACAATTCTGCATATTACCATTTTAAAATTATACTTCGACCATAAAATAATTCTTTTGTTATAGTTCACGACGTATATTGGGAAATTACACGATTACGTAAAGAGATGGTGTTCGCTCGTTTGGGCTTAGTGCTTTCATCTTGAAATATTTTTCTAGGAGGGAATTTCATCTAGTCTGGAAATATAACGGCCGTAAACACGGACCTAGAAAATATTATTATGTTTTTTTTTGGATGATCGAAGAGGGAGGAATGAAAAAAAATATGATTGGAGAGAGTAGTTTAACACTTTGAGTGTCACGTCAGTCATAAATGATTGACATTGAACTTCACGTTCAAGCCGTGTCAAGAACCGATGCCTGGCTCAACTCTTCGTTTTGCAGCATGTGGTCTGACAAAGATTTCCATAAGAATTCGCATGGCGCTCAACTTGTTAATGGGGATTAAAGTAAGATAATAATATTGATCGTAAAGTAACGATCGATAATAGTTGTCTTCTGTTGACATGAGAGTATTGGGGTTGTACGATTTATGAAATCATTTTTATTTCGTATATATTCTTCTCTCTCTCTCTCTCTCTCTCTCTCTCTCTCTATTTATCTATCTCTATCTTTCTATTTTACTGTCGCTATTTAGTATATTAGATTAACACTTATTGCCAATTGGGAAAGATAATGACAAAAAGCGACAATGCAATTGATTCAAGGGGCTGTGAATGATCTTAGAAAAAAAAAAGAAATAAAAAAAAAAACGAGAAGAAAAATATGAAAAAGCATAAAAAAAAAGAAATAAAGAGGCAATTGTTTAGACGTTATCGATAAGTTCCCAACATGACAAATGTATATAAGAAAAATAATGACGTTTTTTGAATCTATATTACTTTATACGATTAAATAATAGAATAAACATTGAAAATGTTGTGGACGTTTGTGCAATGAGAAAAAAAAGAACTTGAGAAGAAAAAAAGGGGTAGGGGGTGATAGGGCATACGACGCATAGCGATCGTCCCTTAAAAAAAAAAAATGTTGATATTCGTTGTTATATATTTGTGAGTATACATTATTGATATTATTACCTGTAGATAAAAGTAAAAGAGAGAAAAAAAGAAAAGAAAAAAAAAAGAAGAGAATAATGTTTTATGTGGACCAGAGGAATCTTTGAATAGTTAAAAAAAAAAAAAAAATACAAGAGTAGAGAAGAAATCATTTGATGTATTTTCTTGCATTCGTCGTAGACGTTTATTATATATATAACAAAGCAGCGAAGTTAGTTTAAAATTCGTTTAAACAAATGTGCGATATAATAGAATTTATTAGTTATTATTATTGATACGTATTAACGTATGCGTTGCAAGTTGTTTAAAAAAAAAGGTGCATATTATATAAAACGTTTTAATTAATTTATTTTGATATATAATTGTCATCAGATAATAATCTTCCGAATTGTAATAATTTAGATGCTCCGTTTTAGCCAATTAACCCTTTGAGTGCTCAATACTTTTACCTAAAATGTTTTTGTAGTAACAGAATAATATAATTATTATTTAATTATTAACCTAAATAATAATTAATAATAATTAATTATTAATATTGTATTATAATATAATAATAATAATTTTATTAATA